GGGGAGGGAGCATAGTGTGGTTAAGGATGGGAGGGAGCATAGTGGTGGTTAAGGATGGGAGGGAGCATAGTGGTGGTTAAGGAGGGGAGGGAGCATAGTGGTGGGTTTAAGGAGGGAGGGAGCATAGTGGTTGGTGAAGGATGGGAGGGAGCATAGTGGTGGTTAATGAGGGGGGAGCATAGTGGTGTGTAAGGAGGGAGGGAGCATAGTGGTGGTTAAGGATGGGAGGGAGCATAGTGGTGGTTAAGGATGGGAGGGAGCATAGTGGTGGTTAAGGATGGGAGGGAGCATAGTGGTGGTTAAGGATGGGAGGGAGCATAGTGGTGGTTAAGGAGGGGAGGGAGCATAGTGGTGGTTAAGGATGGGAGGGAGCATAGTGGTGGTTAAGGAATGGGAGGGAGCATAGTGGTGGTTAAGGAGGGGAGGGAGCATAGGTGGTTAAGGATGGAGGAGCATAGTGGTGGTTAAGGAGGGAGGGAACATAGTGGTGGTTAAGGATGGGAGGGAGCATAGTGGTGGTTAAGGATGGGAGGGAGCATAGTGGTGGTTAAGGATGGGAGGGAGCATAGTGGTGGTTAAGGATGGAGGGAGCATAGTGGTGGTTAAGGATGGGAGGGAGCATAGTGGTGGTTAAGGATGGGAGGGAGCATAGTGGTGTTAAGGATGGGAGAGGAGCATAGTGGTGGTTAAGGATGGGAATGGGAGGCATAGTATTGGTTAAGGATGGGAGGGAGCATAGTGGTGGTTAAGGAGGGGAGGAGCATAGTCGTGGTTAAGGAGGGAAGGGAGCATAGTGGTGGTTAAGGATGGGAGGAGCATAGTGGTGGTTAAGGCTGGGAGGGAGCATAGTGGTTAAGATGGGAGGGAGCATAGTGGTGTTAAGGAGGTGAGGGAGCATAGTGGTGGTTAAGGAGGGGAGGGAGCATAGTGGTGGTTAAGGATGGGAGGGAGCATAGTGGTGTGTTGGAGGGAGGGAGCATAGTGGTGGTTAAGGATGGGAGGGAGCATAGTGGTTTTTAAGGATGGGAGGCGCATAGTGGTGGTTGAGGGGCGGGAGCATAGTGGTGGTTAAGGAGGAGGAGCATAGTGGTGGTTAGGATGGGAGGGAGCATAGTGGTTTTTAGGATGGGAGGGCGCATAGTGGTGGTTGAGGGGCGGGAGCATAGTGGTGGTTAAGGATGGGGAGGGAGCATAGTGGTGGTTAAGGAGGGGAGGGAGCATAGTGGTGGTTAAGGAGGGAGGGAGCATAGTGGTGGTTAAGAGGGGAGGGAGCATAGTGGTGGTTAAGGAGGGGAGGGAGCATAGTGGTGGTTAAGGATGGGAGGGAGCATAGTGGTGGTTAAGGATGGGAGGGAGCATAGTGGTGGTTAAGGATGGGAGGGAGCATAGTGGTGGTTAAGGAGGGAGGGAGCATAGTGGTGGTTTAAGGATGGGAGGAGCATATGGTGGTTAAGGATGGGAGGAGCATAGTGGTGGTTAAGGAGGGAGGGAGCATAGTGGTGGTTAAGGAGGGGAGGGAGCATAGTGGTGGTTAAGGAGGGGAGGAAGCATATGATGGTTTAAGGAGGGGAGGAGCATAGTGGTGCTTAAGGAGGGGAAGGGAGCATAGGTGTGGTTGAGGGGAGGGAGCATAGTGGTGGTTAAGGAGAGAAGGGAGCATAGTGGTGGTTAAGGAGGGGAGGGAGCATAGTGGTGGTTAAGGATGGGAGGGAGCATAGTGGTGGTTAAGGAGGGGAGGGAGCATAGTGGTGGTTAAGGAGGGGAGGGAGCATAGTGGTGGTTAAGGATGGGAGGGAGCATAGTGGTGGTTAAGGAGGGGAGGGAGCATAGTGTGGTTAAGGAGGGAAGGGAGCATAGTGGTGTTAAGGATGGGAGGAGCATAGTGGTGTTAAGATGGGAGGGAGCATAGTGGTGGTTAAGGAGGGGAGGGAGCATAGTGGTGGTTAAGGATGGGAAGGGCGCAGTGGTGGTTGAGGGGAGGGAGCATAGTGGTGGTTAAGGAGGGAGGGAGTATAGTGGTGTTAAGAGGGGAGGGAGAGCATAGTGGTGGTTAAGGATGGGAGGGAGCAATAGTGGGGTTAAGGAGGGGAGGGAGCAATAGTGGTGGTTAAGGATGGGAGGGCATGGTGGTTAGGAGGGGAGGGAGCATAGTGGTGGTTAAGGATGGGAGGGAGCATAGGGTGGTTAAGGATGGGAGGGAGCATAGTGGGTAGTTAAGGATGGAGGGAGCATAGTGTGTGGTTAAGGATGGGAGGGAGCATGGTGCATGGTGGTTAAGGAGAGGGAGCATAGTGGTGGTTAAGGATGGGAGGGAGCATAGTGGTGGTTAAGGATGGGAGGGAGCATAGTGGTGGTTAAGGATGGGAAGGGAGCATAGTGGTGGTTAAGGAATGGGAGGGAGCATAGTGGTGGTTAAGATGGGAGGGAGCATAGTGGTGGTTAAGGATGGGAGGGAGCATAGGTGGTTAAGGATGGGAGGGAGCATAGTGGGTTAAGGATGGGAGGGAGCATAGTGGTGGTTAAGGAGGGAGGGAGCTATGGTGGTTAAGGAGGGGAGGGAGCATAGTGGTGGTTGAGGGGAGGGAGCATAGTGTGGTTTAGGAGGGGAGGGAGAATAGTGGTGGTTAAGGAGGGAGGGAGGATAGTGGTGGTTAAGGAGGAAGGGAGCATAGTGGTGGTTAAGGAGGGGAGGGAGCATAGTAGTGGTTAAGGAGGGAGGAGCATAGTGGTGGTTAAGGGGGAAGGGAGCATAGTGGTGGTTTAAGGAGGGGAGGACCATAGTGGGTTAAGAGGGGAGGGAGCATAGTGGTGGTTAAGGCGAGAAGGGAGCATAGTGGTGGTTAAGGAGGGGAGAGAGGATAGTGGCGGTTAATGAGGGAGGGAGGATGGTGGTTTAAGGAGGGGAGGGAGCATAGTGGGCTAAGGAGTGAAGGAGCTAGTGGTGGTTAAGATGGGATGGAGCATAGTGGTGGTTAAGAGGGAGGGAGCATAGTTGTGGTTAAGGAGGGTAAGGGAGGATAGTGGTGGTTAAGGAGGGGAGGGAGGATAGTGGTGGTTAAGGAGGGGAGGGAGCATAGTGGTGAAGGAGGGGAGGGAGCATAGTGGTGATTAAGGAGGGAGGGAGCAAGTGGTGGTTAATAGGTAGGAGGAGGGAGGGAGCATAGTGGTGGTTAAGGAGGGGAAGGGAGCATAGTGTGGTTAAGGAGGGGAGGGAGCATAGTGGTGTTAATGAGGGGAGCATATGGTGGTTAAGATGGGAGAGGAGCATAGTGGTGGTTAAGGATGGGGAGGGTGAGGGAGGAATAGTGGTGTTAAGGAGGGAGGGAGCATAGTGGTGGTTAAGAGGGGAGGGAGCATAGTGGTGGTTAAGGAGGGAGGGAGCATAGTGGTGGTTAAGAGGGAGGAAGCATAGTGGTGGTTAAGGAGGAAGGGAGCATAGTGGTGGTTAAGGATAGGGAGCATAGTGGTGCTTAAGGAGGGGAGGGAGGATAGTGGTGGTTAAGGAAGGGGAGGGAGGATAGTGGTGTTTGAGGAGGGAGGAAGGAGAGTGGTGGTTAAGGAGGGGAGGGAGCATATGTGGTTAAGGAGGGGAGGAATGCAGAGATGGTTAAGGAAGGGAGGGGCAGCATAGTGGTGGTTACGAGGGGAGGGAGATAGTGGTGGTTAAGAAGGGAGAGGGAGTGTAGTGGTGGAATTAAGGGACAATTGGAGGGAGGGCTAGCGGTGGTTAATAAGGGGGGGGGGGGAGGGAGCATAGAGATGGTAGTAGGAGGGGAGGGAGCATAGTGGTGGTTAAGGAGGGGAGGGAGCATAGTGGTGGTTAAGGAGGGGAGGGAGAATGGTGGTTAATAGGGAGGGAGTTATAGTGGTGGTAAAGGAGGGGAAGGGATCAAGAGATGGTTGAGGGGAGGGAGCATAGTGGTGGTTAAGGAGGGAGGGAGGATGTGGTGGTTAATGAGGGGAGGGAGGATAGCGAGGTTAAGGAGGGGAGGGAGGTTAGTGGTGGTTAAGGAGGGGAGGGAGTGTAGTGGTGATTAAGGAGGGGAGGGAGAATAGTGGTGGTTAAGGAGGGGAGGAAGGGATAAAAATGGTAGTAGCAAGTGGTTGAGGTAATGAGGGAGGGAGGGAGGATGGGTGAGGCAAGAGGTAGCTGGCTCACACATTGGCAGTCTTTAAGAGTGAGTGAGTGAGTGGAGCAACACTCACCCAACCTCCTCTGCATATATCACAAGCCTCCTCACCACACCTTCCAGCACAACAATCACTCTGCTCGATGGAAAGTGTTGTCTTGGTTAACATGACAGTGGCTGGCTAATGATAAAGTGACTTTCAAGGTTTGCCTAGTTTGTAAATTAATGAAGAGCTTGTATGATTGCCGGAGGAGAGGCATGGGCTATTGTACGTTAATACACGTTTGGCGTTCCGAGTGCAATGGGTGAACTGTGCTAAAACGTGTGATAAAAGCTACGGCTGGTCCGAGCTTCAGATATATCTCTGCATATCATTTTGGTCTCGTTGTTATCTGTGATACAAAAAGTTGGGCACCATGGGGGTTCAGAATTACTTTCAAATACCCCGGAAAGATGGCCTGGTTGTAGTGGTGGTCCGGGAAGAGGATTGGTTGAAAGAGCGTCGACGGCGGTCGTGGGTCAAGGCTGTCTTGGCCAAACTACTAGCTAGGTAACCGTTCCTCTTCTACATTGTAATTTTTTCTTCATTGTACTGTAATTTGTAAGCTTTAAATCTATGAACTAATTTTGTATATTGATTGATATGAGAATTTTTTTATGATATCTGATAGTGCTGTTTTAAAGGTTCTTAAAAAAAACTCCAGGTCAGTAACCTGTATAAACATTAGTATTAGTCTGCCTGATAGTAGCTTTATTTGCTGCTTATCAGAATTTTATTGCATGTAAACTATATTTTGCATACTGCAAAAAAAATAAAGCTGTTTGTTTGTATATTGAAACATTATTAACTGCTCGTTTTTCTCTTTTCAGACGTTTGAGTTTACGACCCACGGCTGAAGAGCTCGAAGAAAGAAATATACTTAAAAGTGAGTTGATGTTTGTACAATGTTCAGAAATATTAAAGTTCAGTATTATTGCATTTATATTTAGTTCATATATGAGTATTATTGTCCATGGGGAAGTGGAAGAAGACTCCTTCCTCTGTAAACCGTGAGTGTCGTAGAGGCGACTGAAATACTGGAGCAAGGGACTAGTAACCCCTTCTCCTGTATACATTGCTAAGTGTATAAAGAAGAAATAACTTTTGTTTCTTCTCAGTGGTGCCCTGCCTCAGTGGTTGCCCTGCCTCAGTGGTTGCCCTGCCTCAGTGGTCACCCTGCCTTGGTGGGAGACAGCCAGTTTGTTAGAATTTAAAAAAAAAAAAAAGCGCATTGTTACTGCATTCATTGGGGTAAGCTGATGGTAAATCCTAAGTGTCCTTACAGTGTTAAGAATGGAGTAATGTGGGAAATCATGCTTGATGCCTCAGAAATGGAGGGTGTCACCCTCTAATTGGATCAAGGCTCTTCCTAGTAGCAAGGCCCCTTGTGAAGTCATATGCATCGGTGATCACTGAAATGGTGCAGCAGTGTTGACCCATCGTTTGTTTTAAAAACGCTTGTAGTGGGAGGTAGCATCAAGCCTCTGTAGCAAGGACGGGATACATGTGATGTGGTTTTGGTGTAGTGATGGGATGATGGGTGATGAAAGTGTTTCTTCTTTTTCGGGTCACCCGGCCTTGGTGGGAAATGGCCAGTGTGTTAATAAAAAAAAATACTGAAGTGCTTGACATCACTTAATGTTTCCAGGTTTCTATAAAAAGTTTTTATTCATAAGTGCAACTCATCTTTGTTGCAAGTGTTGATAACTTGCTAAGTGTCTGAATCTTAAGTGTGTATTATACATTCAGTGGGAGACCTACATGTTATAGGGAGGGGGGGCCTTTAATTGCTTCTGGGGGCCCTCCAAGATTGGGGGCCCAGCAGCTTAAGCTTCATTATTTTTACAGTAGATCTGTTGCTGTGTATAGTACAGTACTTGTACATTACTGGCATAGTGACTCATAACTAAGATTTATAACCTTCTGGTATGGTAACTTAGATTAATAATCTTCTTCTGGTATGATAAATTAATGACCTTCTTCTGGTATGATAGATTAATGACCTTCTTCTGGTATGATAACTTAGATTAATAACCTTCTTATGGTATGATAACTTAGATTAATAACCTACTTCTGGTATGATAACTTAGATTAATAACCTTCTTGTATGTTTAATTAAATCCTTTCCCCTCCTTTTTTACCCCCGGTGGCCCCCTGCCTCGGGGGCACCCTCCCTTTCCCCCCTCTCTGCCCCCCCTCTTTTCCCCCCCCCCGGGGTCCCCCCCCGGGGTCACCCCCTGGGGGTTTCCCTTCTTTTCCCCGCCTCTGCCACCCTCCTTACCTTTTTTCCCCCTCCTTTTACCCCCTCGGGGCCACCCTTCCCCCGGGGCCCCCTCCGGGGGCCCCCCCTCTTTCCCCTGCCTCTTCCCCCCTCCAATTCCCCCTGCTCACACCCCCTCCTTTAAAAACCCCTTTTTTTAAAAAAAAAAAAAGCTTTTTTCTTTCTTTGGGGAAAAAACCCAAATGCCTTAAATTAAAAGGGGGTAAAAAATCATTTTGCCCAAAAAGGGGGGCCCCTCCTTTAAACTCTTATTGCAAAACCCTTTTAATTTTTAATTTAAAAAATTTCCTTTCTTTTTTACCTAGGGGTTACCCCCGGAAATTTTATTTTTTTAAAAGTTTCTTCTTTTTCGGGCACCCCCGGTAAACCTTTTAATAAAAAAAAACCCCAATTTTCAACTTATTTTCCATTTTTAAAATTTTTTTTAATCAATCTTTTTTTGGGGTTTTTTTTTTTGGGTTTTTTTTTTAAAAAAATTTCGGGGGGACCTACATTTTAAAAGGGGGGGGTTAATTTTGGGGCCCCCAAATTCCCACAAAAAATTAAATTTTTTTTCTATTTCCCCTTTTAAAAACTCTTTTTTTCCCCCTTCCCTTAACAAATTTTTTTTTAAACCTTTTTTGGGGGTTTAAAAATTCTTTTTTTAAAAAATTTTAAACTTCTCTTTAATTTGCCTTTTTTTTAAAATTTTAACTTTTAAAACCCTTCTTTTTTCTTTTTAAATTCCCTCTGGATAAACTTTTTAAAAACCCCTTTTTTTTGGGGGGGGACTCCCAAAACAAAACAAAAAAAAAAACCTTTTTACCCCCCCCCCCAAAACTTGGGGAAAAATTCCCAAATTTTTTTTAAAACCATATTTCCATTTTTTTTCTACTATCCCCTCATCCATACATCTTTTTTCCTTCTTTTTTTTTTTATTTTCTTTCCCCCCTTTTTTTTAATCCTCTTTTTTTAAAAAATATAATATTAAAAATTTAAAAAAAAATTTAAAATATAATATAAAAATTATATATATATATAAAAAATTTTTAATATTTTTAAAATTTAATAAAATTAATATATATATATATATTTTAAAAATATAATATATATATTTAAAAATTTATTATATATATATTATAATATATAATAATAAAATATTACCGTTGCCGAATATGCAAAACTGGCCAATTAGAAAAAATTTTTAAAATTAAGTCTTTTTTAAAATTTTTTTTTTAATTTAAAAAAAATTTTTTTTCATTAAGTTGAGTAAAAATTTAAAATTTTCACCAAAAGGAACTTGAAAACTTCCTAAACCCTTTTTATAACAAGGGAAATTATTTTAGCCTAACCCAAAAAATAATTTGTTTACAATAATTTTAAACTAAACAAACACAGTGAAAAAATTTTTTTTCGTTAGGTTCAGAAGATTTTGGCGAAATTAGCATACACAAAATTTTTTTCTTGTCCAAATGGCAAGAAAGAGCGTTGCTATTTAAGCCAAAATGCAAGTTTGTCTATTTGGGACGACATATATATATATTTGGTAAAAAGGCTTCAAGGAAGAATATTGGAAATTTTTCTTTTCCTGAACCCTTTGATATTCCCCTTCCCCCTACCACCCCCTTTTTTTTTTGATATAATTTTTTTTTTTTTTTTTTAAAGGGAAAATTTTTTTTACTATTATGGTACAGAAGATTTAAGAGATACATTATTGATAAAAGGTGGCTATCCCGGGACATGTTGTTGGTGTATCCCTTTATAAGGCAAAATCTCATCCCTCCAAGCTGGGGGTGTGCCCAAAATACAGCAGGGATTACCCTTTTGAACAGCCGCACTGAGCCGCTGGAACAGAAAATAGCTGCCCTGGGATCCCTAGTTACCCTGATGAGTCTTTTTTCCCAGCTCCTTAAGGAATTTAGATGCACTCTTTCCCCATGAGCCAAGGGTCTCTGAGCCTATGGGAACAACATATAATGATGGCAAGTTCTCCATATTTTCTAGATTTTTGGGCCTCCCTGAAGCTGGCAGCTGCCCCTCCTTCTTCCCTGGTGTATTGGAGATAGGTATCAGCCAAGGTAGATGCACATGTATAGTCCACACCACCTGCTTCCCATCTGGTCCAGGTTTGAAGGGTGATACCATCTGGACGCTTCTGGCTGCTATCAGATCTGCATAGTTGGGGTGGCTCCCTTACTGCTGGGCATCCAGCTGTTGTGAGGCTCCTCTTGATAATGTTATTAACCTCCTCATGTCTTGCAATCTTTCCCCCGGATTTACGGCACACAAGACCATGGTACCCGAATCGGTGGTATAAAATATATATATATATATATATATATATATATATATATATATTATAATAAATATATATATAATATATATAAATATCTATACACACACACACACACACACACACACACACACACACACACACACACACACACACACACCCACACATACATACATACATACATACATACATACATACATACATACTGGCTTCTCCAGGGAAAGTGGAAGAGAATTCTTCCTTTGTAAGCCATGCATATCATAAGAGGCGACTAAAATGCCAGGAGCAAGGGGCTAGTAACACCTTCTCCTGTAGACATTACTAAATTTAAAAAAAGAACTTTTGTTTTTCTTTTTTAGGTCATCCTGTCTCAGTGGAATATGGCCAGTTTGTTGAAAAAATATATGTATACTAGCTCCCTTACCTTCATGTGTTGGTGTGTGACTAGATAATAGTCCAAATTGGACAGAAATGTTGTACTAAGTTTCTTTCTACTATGTGCAGGTTATTTGTGTATTGAGTTTTATCTGTCTCATATTTTGTAGGATAGAAATGATATCAGTGATGAGTAAACTATCACAGTGGTTAAATTGTTATATAGTTTTGTTCTGGAGAGGGAAATTTAGTTCACCCACTTTATGAAAACATGAGCCAGATACCACAGTGCAACATGTATCACCACCACTACCACAGTGCAACATGTATCACCACCACTACCACAGTGCAACATGTATCACCACCACTACCACAGTGCAACATGTATCACCACCACTACCACAGTGCAACATGTATCACCACCACTACCACAGTGCAACATGTATCACCACTACTACCACAGTGCAACATGTATCACCACCACTACCACAGTGCAACATGTATCACCACCACTACCACAGTGCAACATGTATCACCACCACTACCACAGTGCAACATGTATCACCACCACTACCACAGTGCAACATGTATCACCACCACTACCACAGTGCAAACATGTATCACCACCACTACCACAGTGCAACATGTATCACCACCACTACCACAGTGCAACATGTATCACCACCACTACCACAGTGCAACATGTATCACCACCACTACCACAGTGCAACATGTATCACCACCACTACCACAGTGCAACATGTATCACCACTACTACCACAGTGCAACATGTATCACCACCACTACCACAGTGCAACATGTATCACCACTACTACCACAGTGCAACATGTATCACCACCACTACCACAGTGCAACATGTATCACCACCACTACCACAGTGCAACATGTATCACCACTACTACCACAGTGCAACATGTATCACCACCACTACCACAAT